CAAACCAGGACGTGTCCTTACTGAATCATCAGAGCTGAACTGGTGATGGAGAAACAGGTTTACCTTTTAGGTGACATGAATGAGTTGAAGGGAAGTTATGAACTGTTTCTGAGAGACAAATAACACCAAGCTCCTTTTCTGTGTAGCTGACAGCTTACAGCTTACAACCAAAGTTTGTATAATAATACACAAAATTGGCTGTAGACCATTGTTAATCATTCAGAACACTGTGTAAAAATAACAAAAAGTGAATGCAAACGTGCATAAATATTTATTTTATTTGTTTAATGTGTGTGGCAGCGCGTGGTCTGCAGTGCTGCTGCAGGGGAGGTGGACCCACCTGAGCGGCATCTGCAATCACGCCTCTCGGGCTTAAAGTCTGTGCTCTCTCGGCTGTTTTTTTGGTGTGTGTCGGGCTGTGAGTTGAAAAGCTAGAGCCGGCTGTGTGGGTACACCAACAATGTGTGAAAAGTGTTCAATAAAGTAATGCTACAAAGCGTGTTCATGCAAACATTGTCGGGTCTACCGTGGTACAATGGGACTTCTGCTCATGAACCTCTGTGCACAGCGTCTGCAAATCGGGGCTGTACGAAGTCACCTCATCTTTACACAAAACTGTAAGCTGTCATCTGTGAGGCACGAGCGGTGTTTGTTTTTACCATAGTTCATGGTGGAGAATGGCTGCTCTGCTGAGTTTTGCTCCCTGTAGCCGTATGAATGGCAAACTACACTGATTAGCAGCGGCATAGGCACACTTAAAATTTCTTCCGAAATTTTTGCTTTCTAGTTGATTATAAGATTTTAAGCGATCATTTTAGCAATGAGTTCATATTTACTCACAGAGCTTTGTTGGAGGCTTTGACCACTGGCAGCAGCCTCAGAAGAGCCTCCTCTGAAGCAGAGTATTTCTTCAGGTCAAACACATCCAGATCTTTTTCTGCTGACAGTAAGATGAAGACCAGAGCTGACCACTGAGCAGGAGACAGATTAGTGTAGGAGAGACGTCCTGATCTCATGTACCATTGAATCTGCTCCACTAGAGAACTATCATTCAGTTCATTCAGACAGTGGAACAGATTGATGCTTTTCTCTGCAGACAGATTCTCACTCAGCTTCTTCTTGATGTACTGGAATGTTTCCTTATTGGTCTGTGAGGTACTTCCTGTCTGTGTCAGCAGACCTCATAGGAGAGTCTGATTGGTCTGCAGTGAAAGACCCAGGAGGAAGCGGAGGAAAAAGTTAAGGTGTCCATTTGGACTCTGTATGGCCTTGTTCACAGCACTCTGGTGGAGAGATTTTAAATTGTTTTTTTTTTTAAATATCTTTTTTTTTTAAGTCTGTTTGTTGTTCGTCTAGCAGATTTTTTCCAGAGAGTTGATGAAGGTCATATGGACATGAAGAGCAGCCAGAAACTCCTGAACACTCAGATGGATGAAGCAGAACACCTTGTCCTGGTACAGTCCTCTCTCCTCTTTAAATATCTGTGTGAACACTCCTGGGTACACTGAGGCTGCTCTGATATCGATGCCACACTCTCTCAGGTCTGATTCATAGAAGATCAGGTTTCCTGATTCCTGATCCAGCAGAAGACTGGGATGTGGCACATGATTTGGAGGCTTCGTGATGTCTTGATGTGGGAGATGATCCTGCTGGCCTGCACCTCATCTCTGAATCTCTTCCTGAAGTAATCCTGCTTCTGTGGGTCAGTGAACCCTCTGACCTCTGTCACCATGCCAACACAGTCAGGAGGGATCTGATTGGCTGCTGCAGGTCCTGTGGTTATCCAGGGAAGCAGTTCGCCCCTGGTGAGGTTTATCAGCAGCACATCCACTGAGGTGGACTTTCTA